TGGCTTAAAAGATTCGCGCCACCTTTTCATCCAATCAGAAGTAAAACCAAAGCCAATTGTGACGCGCTCGCATGCATTTTCCCGCGCTTTGCGTCAGCCACATGTAATTACTTCGAGTTTTGATTGGTTCAATGTATTGTCTGTGTCCTATGTGATTGGCCAGAGTAATTACTTTGGTTTTGGTTTTACGACACTCAAACGAAAACCACTCTATCCCGAAATAATCAACTGTCTTGGTCAGCGTGTCATTCTCGCCTTCAGAGCCTCCTGGGGGCCTGAGCACGAGGACTTCTGGTCCCGGTGTTATCAGCCTCGGCCTTCAGCTCGGCTGATAACACTTACCGGGTTCTTGATTATTCCGGATATCACAAAAACCGAATCTAATAATTGTTTTATTATACATTGTTTTGATATAAATAACGACGAATACACTGTTGCACGAAACCGATTTTACTTTGCTCTTGGAAATCATGCATTGGGCGCCCAACCTCCCGTCAGTTATCTGCCAGCAGATAATTATGAGCTAATCCGTAGGTTGCGCTGTTTTCCAAAATTAACTTTAGAAAATTAGCCAATGAGAAGATAGATAATGAGTGCAATGTATCAATAATACTAATAATTCGTCTGTTTTATTCTTTCGCTCAGACTAATTATGTGGAAAAATTTCGATTCGTCGTCTCTTTAACAATTCAAAACCTGACAGTTTTTAGTAGCCTGAATTTCATTCGATTGCTTCCAGTCGTTTTCTCCTCTCAGCAACGTGTTACTGAGGAAGTAATAACGACTAGAAGATTCAGGCTACTAAAAGCTGTCAGGTTTTGAATTGTTAAAAAGACAACGAATGGAAGTTGTTAGCCATCCGAATGAATTGTCCTGGTAAGAGACAGTGAATTCCAGCGTTCAGGAAACCAAAGTTGGTCAAGGTGGATAAAAGTTGAAATGTAAACATTTGTTTTACTCATCAGGGCCGTTGCTATCTACTGACTCAGAGCTTTTTGGACTCCAATTATAGACTCTTACACCTACTTTGCGTCTCCTTCTCCTTCCAATCATATTTAGTTTTTTTAATTTGTTACTAGTATATCAGCGCTTTTGCTCCGATAATCAAGAGTCAATCTAAAAATACTAGTTTAAAACAGGGCTCCCGTTTAAAGGAGCAGTAATGGAAGACAGTGTTGTTACATGATGTAGCTCCTTTTACGAAAAGTCCGAATTCCATAGCGCGCCTGATAGGCGGTTTCCTTTCTTTTTTTTGAATGCGAACAGCGGCAAATAAAACGCTAAGCGCCGCGCGCGCGGCAACTTCGCCGCAAAGGTCACAAAGGCTCTTTAATTTCCCGCGCTTTAGCATAAGTAGCATGGGATCGAGGCGAGGTTTCAGCATCCCATAATCAGTCA